GTCTGCTTTTCCTATGCAAATACATTATTTTCTGATGTATATTCATCCTGGGGATTGCGACTTTTCTCAAAACAACTAAATGATGAGGATATCTAAATCACTGTTGGCTGACACAGACAGTAACCGTTTAGTTCTTTTACCCGAAAAGTTTCACAAATTAATCCGTTAAAGTTCGGATTTTGCCACAGCAATTTTCCTTAAATGTCAATCAAGGATTAGCTTTTAAAAAATATAAAACACTTTCACTTAAATGAGAACATAGTTTTTCCTGTTGCTGATTCCCTCCCCTTGTTACTTCATTGGCAAGCTGGAGGAGAGGCTGGTCTTCAGCTTTCTGTGTGTCTGCTGTCGTTCTTGCTCTGTGATTGACAGGAGATGCACTTCGGCAGTTCAGGACAAGTCCTGCTAGTTCTTCTTTCTGACGTGGAGTACTTCAAATCCACTCACTGAAGGTTTTGAGATTAAATATCTGTCAGAGTCGAGAATTGTTGCATGGTAAGACGCGCCTTACTTACACAGCTATTAGCCGACCTCCCGAATTATCCAAGTGGAGGGACACTAATAGGAGCAGCTGAAGAAGCAGTGCCCCTATGCCACGGTTAATGCCCCTTCACTCAGAATCCCAGATTTACTTCCCCTGTACTATGTGTCTCTTTGAACCTCTCTGCTTTTAACTAGTGCGGTAGATTCGTCCACAAAATACAGAATCAGTTCATTTTACAGTATATCCTGTGAAGCGCTTTGAGATGCATCAATAACATGATAAGGCGCGATATCAAAATTCAAGGATTATTTTGATAAAAAGAGGAGAATTTATAGTGTGTTAAGATATTTTGTTCCCTGAGGAAATAATAGATTCAGTAGGTGGAAGACTATCTTTTCACCTCTAAGTTAAATTTGTAATCTGGAACCTGGAAAGCTAAGCAGGAAAATGCTCAAATAATTTTTGTTTGGTTAAGGATTTAATATTAAACGTTTTGGGACTTCCTCCCAACATGAAAGTGCTATGTAAGTGTGAATTTGTATTATAGTGTAACTCAGTATACAGCAAGTCATGGTACCTAAACCCTGTGATATTGTTGCTGGATGAATCAACATCATGGAAATTGGTGGTCTGGGAAAGTGCAAGTGGTCATGAATTGTGTCTATCCAGCTTGATCCGCAATAGCATCTTGGATATCAAACAAGACCATCACATCTCAAATCTGACAATGAATTTGGGGTCAGAGAAGCTTGCATGTCTTTCTTGGCACAGCTTCCCAAGGGTACATTGGCAGAGTATCGGATTGACAGGGTGCACAAAGAGAGGTGGCTGCTCCTCTGGTTTCCATGGAGTGCATCCAACCGAGTCAAGCTGTCAGTAATGGTCATCTCTATCTAATCTGATAGCAGCAGAGGCAAAGCTGTTCAATCAGTATTTAAGATTCTGTTGTAAGATTCAAACTTTTGAAACTAGTGGAGTGGGGCAGAACTCTTTGATTTTGCTTAATGTTGAGGTCCAGTAAAATGGGGCTTGGTTTCTGTATATTCTGAGGATTTAATCTGAATGAGGAACCTACATCTGTTTAAATAATTTTTAGTTGATACCATTCATGAGCTAAAATACGTGAGGCCATTTTAATGTTCTTTACTGCTGTACCGAATTGCTTCGCATGACTTTCGAGCTGTTTCCTTCTGTCAGTCTGGTATGCATCAATCACATTGAGAGCTGGGTCATCTCATCATTTCTCAGGCTCACTGCTGCAGATCTGTTGAAGGATTCACTCAGATATGTTCTGTTTGAATATCAGTGTTTAGTTTTCACCTGAGACCCAGTCTGGAATGTAAGTGTACTCAGTGTCCGGTATTTTTTTTCTTCAACTCAAATGCTTTTTCCAGGGTTGAATGTTTCTTCATATTCACTAAGATAATTTGATGATTCATTAAATTCTTTAATGGCTGCTTTGGGAACATTGCTGTTTTTAAAATTGGCTACCGCATTTGTCTACTAAACACACAATAATTACACTTTACAGTAAGTCCACTGAAGGGTCCTTTGAGATGTCCTCTTTGGGTCAACAAATCAACTTCAAGCAACTATTTGCTAAAAGCGTGGGTAAAACTGATGGAAACATAATTCAGATATTCAGTGACGAATTGACAAAAGCAAACTACAATATTACAGTAAAACAATAATCCTTTTATTTGATATAGAGCTTTATCACACCTTCAAGATGTCTCAAAGCACTTCATGGATTGTATTCAAAAGTGAACTGACTTTATATTTTGTGCGTGAGAAATGGCAGCCAATTGCACACAGCAGTGCCCCACAAATAGTGGTGGATTGAGTGAACAAATTATTTTTATTATTTTTTTAAGAGATTATTACAAGCGATCTGCCAATCGACTACTTATGTCTTGAGAACATGCCATTAGCCTCCCTTACAAATGATTAGCGGCCAACGGTGAGAGCAGCAGCAATAAGCCTTTTCTCACACATTTCAAAGAGCTTAAATGGTGTTTAAAAATCTTGCTGTGGTCTAATACAACTGCGGAGTGCAGATTATCTGAGACTAAATGTTGCATTAAGAGCAAAGACAGATTTGCCACAGGATGGTGGCGCCGCAGGTACCTATAATAACAATAAATATTAATAGTAATAAATAATAAACGTTGAGAAAAGAGCCGTTCACAATGGGAAGTCATCTCAAAGCTCTCACAGAATTTCCTGTAAAGTGCAATGACTTTATTTTGTAGGCCAAACGCGACAGCCAATTTGTGCGCAACAATGTCCCACAAACAGCTATGAAGTGAATGACCAATGTTATCTGGAAGATTGTTGGCCAGGACACTGGGGAGAAACTCCCTTCTTTTTCCAAGTAGTTCGATGGGTCCTGTAATACCTACATGAATAGGCAGATTGGGTCTTGATGTAGCGTCTCATCTGAAGGATGGCACCTCCAGTAGATCCCCCCCAACACTGCACTAAAGTATCAACCTAGACTAATTGAGTTCAAAATCCCAAAGTGGGGCTTGAACCTATATCAGAGGCAAGAGGGCTACTGACTAAACCAGACTGAAGTCTTGTGCATATGATGTGGATCTTATCCCCTCTACTCTTTACCTTGCATTCCAAAGATAATTCCATCATAAATCTTGAGAAGAGTAAAACACAGAGGGAGGGGAAATGTCTACGGGAAGTTCTGTTCTGTGGAGGGGCAATGCTGATGGGGTTGGTTTGTGTTGAATTTTGGGGAGCCTGACAGAGTCCAAGAGGTTGGAGCTGGATCATGAGGTAGCGGAAAGCACGTCCTCTCTTGTGGAATGCGGAACTTATTGACAAGCTGCTTCAAGGTCAAGATCTAATCTTTTAATGCAGTCTCTAAGCTGCGAATGCCTCCCAGTGATTCACACCTCAACCTTTTGTCTTCTGACCACATTTTTCAGGAATTTACTTGTCACTGGTCATTGCGAGACTTCACCTGCTCTTCTCTGCAAAAGTGTTATCAGGATACCTTCTTTATTTCAAGGGGGATGCACTGCTAATATTAGGGGAGAGAAGAGCTAAGAAGTGTGTTTGGTTTGGCCTCGGCCCAGATTTATACTGTGCTTTTGTCACCAAATCACTGTCTGAATTGCAGCAATTTGTTGGCAAACATGAAATGTGAATGCAGCTTTAGTCCCTTAAAATATAGCCCATGGTTAGTTAATGTGATTCGTTGTATACAGCATCTGCCCCCAGTTTTACCTATTTTGTTTTAAATTAGTTAGTTTTTCTAGCTTTTTATCTGCAGGTATTCTCTGTCATTCAGAAACCATTTGGATTTTATTCGGTCAGTACTGTTCTGTTAAATTATTCCCCGGGTAGAAAGTTATTGGAGTTTTTTTTACACTTGATTTTAAGGTGAATTTTTTTGTATGAGTTTAGAGTAAGATTGTTACATTTAATAACTTTTTTTATTACTGAGCCTTTAGCTAGAATATATGGTTCGTGTACTACTCTAAACAAGGTATTACTTACATCTTCTCTTAGCTTCATGCATGACCCTTGGAAGAGTTCATAAAATAATTACTGATATGTGTTTCGAGGCTGTGGTCCTCACGAGAAGGCGAGTTTGAAAATGGAGGAATAATACTATTACCAGATGTGTGTTTAAGTCTGTTAGTATTTCATTTTTGTTGGAAAATGAAATGTGATACCTCATTTTACAGTCCTGGTCCTGCTGTGACGTAGAGCACGTATGGTTGATGCAGGGCGAGGGGAAGGAAAGGGTGGGGGGGGGGAGGAAAAGAGTGGCATCGGTGTGGCCGCGTGCTTCTATCCGTTTTGTTCTTGCAAGCTTAGGGAGAAAGTCAGATTTTTGTTTAATTCTGTGTCACCTTGAGGTCGGTAATGAAGGTTGTCGTATTTCAACAGTGTAAAATGTACTGAAAAGCACCGTCACTTTTCATTAATGCAGCCACAGAAAGGCTGAAATAATCTTTTGCATGCATTACAGCAATGAATTGTATTTCGATTACCTCCTGCCTAACCCTTCTTCAAACACTGCCCCCTCTTTTAGGATGGGGCATTTGTTTTGGAAACTCACCTTTAATAATTCAGTCTTGTTTACACTATAGTAGCTCATTGAGGAGAGCTGTGTGGTCTCAGTTTGCATCACTAATCCACATTGATTGAATAACTGTGTTGTTAGCTGGTTAAACTCTAGTGGTACCTAAACCACACTCTGTGGTCCACTACTGCCCAACCTGTGCCTTATACTTTTCTGGAATTAGATAAGTAAGGTGTATCCCTCCAGGGAGAGAGTGAGCATTCCATTCCAAACATGGGAATTTCCATGTGTAGGTGGCATTCATGGAACGCTCTCTGGTTTCGAGACTCTTCTGCATGATGATGGCTTTCTGTATGACCAAAGCAAAATTCTTATTCCTTCCAGATGTTCAGAAAAGCATTTTCTTTTATTTTTCTTCAGATATTCTTTCAGGAGTATAACAGTTTCTCTCTCCCTCTCTCTATGCAGTTGTATATGACTATCGTCTGGATCTTAGAGTGCTACATGGTGCCATTTGCACTCTTGATGCTTTTTGCCTGGAACTACATTCAGCTAGCCAGAGGGAAGATTGTCAGCAATCAGTACTTGGTGAGTTTGTGCTAAGAACATCTAATACTGTGGGTGGAATGTGTATTTTCATTTTAGGAGTATTCTTCCTGCTTAATATGCTGGTCTTTCGAAGAAAGGGAGGATAGAAAGGTGTCAGCCTTGCTTAGTTGGTCATAGACTTGCCTCTAGGTAACAACAACAACAAATCACATTTATACAATGCCTTGGCTTCAAACCCCACTTCCAGACTTTGAACTCACAGTCCTGGCTGGTACTCCAGTACAGTGCTAGGAGAGTGCTGCAATGCTCAGATGAGACATTACACCAACATCCTGTTAACTTTCTTTCCACGAAGCATTAGACCTCTACAAGATCACTTCATCGCTTGAATGCAACATCAATGGAGCAAAAGTTACTCTGTTCCTTTGTCTTTAATTATAATTATTAATAATCCTTGCATTTGACATAGGGTGTTTCATATCAGGAGGATGTTCATCAGAACAGGCTTTGTGGAAAACCATTGATTCAGTGGGCTGCACTGTTCAAAACACATTGAGCAATAAATTTATCAAAATACTTTTTCATTATGAGTGACCCTTTCAAGTTTTATTACTGCTTTCTGTAGCATGGCTTGTGAAATCTCATCTTCCTCCACTTAATAGTTTCATTTCTTACAGAGAATAAAGTCATGGCCCTGCAGTGAAGAGCGGAGATCAACAATGTGCAAAAGTTCTCCTCTTTAGCCATGGGCTTCATTACAGAGTCGAACTCTAATGTTAACTCTTTCCAAGTACCAGCCTGGATTGAAGTCATCACTCATCTTTTAGCTGTACTTTATCTCAGGTTAACAGAAGATAAACAGTGCGGTGATGCACTGGCAACACAATGCACTGTCCATCCTGTATGCCTCGGAGGCTGGATTCTATAGCTCCACATGTGCAGCAGTACGAACAGTGTAGACTTTAGCCCTTCATCTCATCGGTATCAGTAGCGATCCATAACTGGATATCTTCAGAGATGCAAGTTTTTACAGAGCTTTGAAATTTAGTTGTTGATCAGATAAATAATTCCAATGATGAAATTAATAAATTTAATTCCTTGATTCAGTTGAAATAATTGGTATATCTGCATTCAGAGTTAAGAACACAGGCATGCAAATGCTGTCACAACTCTGGTTAAGAATTAATTAAATGGTGCTCTTCCTCACCATAATTAATATATTGTAGGTTAAGAAATAAGGAAGATATAGGATTTCTCATTATACTCACTCCCTAAGTAGTGCGATACGTTCATTCACAATAACTCTGTGTACATTGAACATAATGTGGTTGGAGAAATCCTTCTGAACATAAAACAGCTTGGCATTGATCATTGATTTGCAAAAAAAAATTCTCCACTCATTTTCCTTGTTTTATCCACCTCCCCACTCCTTACTTGGGAAGGTTGGGAAACCATTCTTTGGGAACTCACAAACCAGAAGTCACAATTAATTTAACACATCTACTTTTTCTAAAAATTGCATTTTACTCCACAATAAGCATTCTCCAATTCCTTTTCAGCACCTCAAACTGACTGGCATTAGTACAATAAAACAATTTATATCTGGACATGCACATGCATACACCAACTGTATTTATTACCTTACACACCTTCAAATTCCATGCAAGAAAAATGTGTAACTGGACCAGCAAATAAACTATTGTAAAATTCTAATGTAAACATACTGTTAAAAATAACTTTCAAAGCATTTTAATTTTTTTTCTATGGCCAGTACACATTTGACTAAGATGGTCATAGCATACCTTGTGTTCTAACCTCTCTCTCTCTGCAGCTCAATCCTGGAGTCCATTCGTTTTGCCCCTTCTTCATAGCTTTCAAAGTCTGCCTCAATACTTGCTTTTTTGACCACTGTTTCAGACATCTTTCTTTCCTCCACACTTGGTGGTGAATAAATATGAATTGTACTGCATAATTGTTGGGAGAAAAAAAATCCATATGATAGGATGTATTGTATGTTTTAGTGCCACATACTGACAGTGATAAGTTGCTTTATTGCCAAGCACTGTAATTCTCGTTTCAGTTCTATGAAAAGCAAATTACAAAATATTCCAGTCACAGTACAGAAAGAATGAGGGGGAGGGAAAAGAGAGAAACCTGACGCTGACCTGATTCTTTTCTTTCTGTTGGATTTGTCAGGAGGATGAAGAATCTGATATTGACGATGATGAAGATGAAGATGAAAAGGTAATGGGTGACAAATCACATTATTTCTGGAGACAAAATGCACCTTTCATTTGCGATAAAACGTTTCAAGAATCAATTTTTCTTTTCTTGCCTTAGATGAAATGAAGCTTTCACAATGCCTTTCCCTGTGATCCTCTCAATTCTCTTTGTCCTTTACACTTTTTCAAAACATTGTAGCATTGAAGATATCGGCAGCTTATAACCTTGGCTCAAGTATATTGAAATAAAGTTGACTGATACATTCATAGAATCTTTCTGTGCTGCTGATTATTAAATGTCATACCTGAACCAAATCTGCATTGTAAAGTCATTCCAAATTAAATTGTTTTTTGGGGCAAATATCTGAAAATTTATACTACAGTCTGAAGATGCTGACAATGCCCTTGAATATACTGTGCCATCCATCCACTGGAGCTCTGTGTTGTGAGCTCTGGTAAAGGGGCTGCCTCTTGTGCTGCATATCAAGTCCTTCATAAAATGTTCATTGCATGGTTTTCAAACCTGTGCTCACTATGTTGGCTTGTTGCTTGTCCATTCACTTGTTTAAAAGAAAATACCAATTCCAAATAATGGAATTCATGCCATTACGCCTACTTGATGCTGGCTTCATAACTCCCTTTTCTTATTTTGCCAATTCCTGGTTCAGAAGTTCCTCTGTCCAATCAAGCTGCAAAACCCTCTCCTTAATTACAAGATCACAAGATTGGTTTGAATGAAGAAGGCTGTATGGCTCATTGGATCTCACCCCTCGAGAATACCTGCCCACCATCTTCCCATAGTCATCTCTCAGATGGCACCATTTCTTAGTTCAAGAGCAAGACAAGTAGTCAAGAAGTAGAAAATGGGATTCAAAGATCTCGTACAGAAATGAGTTATTCTGCACGATCAAAAATTCCTGCTCTTTACAGTTGAGAATGTTTCTGTGAGAGTAGGCATCCACAACATAGATAAAGAATTTTGTCAGCAAGGAGATAGGTTGATGGCCAGACAACTTGCAAGTGGCTTTAATCCATAAGAAATGTCACTTGAACATGCCAATTGTCTCACAGAACATTTGAAACCACGTTTCATTAAACTATTAATTTTACGTGGGTGTCGGAAGATCTTTATGGAAATTACCGCAATTGGTTTAACAATGAGGATTAATGAATAAGTGACAGCTGATAAATCAAAAGCCAAAATGACTCAATAATTAGAATAAGCAATTACAGTACTTTGAATATAAGTTTCAAACTGCAGCTGCCGTAGTATAGCTAATACTGTGTTTGAAATGGGTGGTTTCACCAAAGAGGTTATTAGTTTATTAGTTTGTGAGGTGGATCAGGAGTCAAGTACAGTATTGCCAAAGTCAATAAAAACTCAAAGCACACTACATGGAATGATGTCACGTTTGAATACAAATCAAAACTTTATGTCTGAATGAAGAATACTTAGTGAGCGATTCAAAATATGTTTGCATTGTACTCTCTGACACAGCACAGGAGGTTAACAACCCTTTTGTTTTTCCCAGTAGAAGAATTGTGTTACACTCAATGTAAAGATAGAGTCCTTCTGGCATACGTTGTGCATAGCAGATGTCATTTCTGGCTTTTTAATCAGTCCTTGGGGGGAAGAACTGTTTACAATTTATAAACACACTTGTTTAATACAAAAAACAAAAAGGTCAGTACAAATCCCATTTGCCAAAACTGGGCATCTAAAATGACACACAATGTTTAACTACCAAAATTCCAAAACACTGCCTCCGCGGACTGCAAAAGATAAAAACGCATTTATTCCCACTGGCAACCTTGTCGATACATATTTTTCTCATAGAATTTCTTTACATTTTGTTTAAAGAAAGTCGGGCTGCAGTCATGGAGCTGCTTTCTGTCAGCTTTGAACTGTCAGGGCTAGCATTTCTGTTGAATTAGATCACCGAGGCATCGCGAGCCCAGAAAGACTGAAATAACCAAATTCTCTTGTAACTTTGCCAAACCAATTCTACGCAACCTTTTCACTCCTTTAAAGCAGCACGTTCAGAAATCTTCCCAGCCGTGTGCAAACAGAAATAGGAACTAGGGGCTGAAGGAACACTTAATGCGTAGAGAGCCAACTTACTTATCAAAGCTAGTCTACCAAACTAGGTAGCAAAACATTTGGAATCCCTAATGCAATCATTGAGAATGTAGTGATTGCGGCAGTTTAGCTAATGTGTTCAACTCCTCATCTGCTGTGTATGCTCATTCCCTCTGGGTTTGTGTTCCACAGCCAACATTAACTCTGGACTAAATCTAGATGGCGAGGAGTCAGAAGGTGATTGTTATGTAGAGTTGCATAGGACAATCAGAAGGAGGACTGAAGTGAGACACAAGTGTTCTGTGCGTTCAAGTGGCATTGTAGCTTGGCTTTGGGTGCCCTCTTATAATTTGCTACATGATTTCCGCATGGATTGCCTTGGCTTAGAGCTGCAACTGAACCTCTGCTATATTTCACTGGCCTCTGCTATATTTCACTGAAAATATTGCCTATCTTGCAAGGGCTTTCTAAAAGTAATAAATTCAGAAATATTTGTGCTTGAATATGCAATTTTGTTTTATAGGGTTCTGTTTTCCAGAGTAATTATCTTTGTATGATATTCAATAACTACTCTGCCATAGTTCATATAAATCGTGAAACCTTATTTGTCTCTACTCTGTTTCCATCCACCTTGCCCAGCATCGAGGGTTTTGCTTCCTTTTATAACCTGCGCAGTCTGTTCTCTGTGCTTATTGCCTGGAGTACATGGCCACCAATGTCTTTTCCCTCCAGTGAGAGAAGGCATGAGAATGCTATTAGGAGGCAGCACTTTGCATCTTCCATAGCATAAATGAAAGCTTCTCTACTGGCTCTAAAGCTAATAGGGGCTTTTCACTCATGGAATGGAGCATAGATCCGCAGAGAGTTTGCGTCGCCTCTGCTAAAGGCACAGGGGTCTACAGTTTGGCTCTTGCTAAAAATAGTGATCTTTTCATTACTTTTTCCGTAAACAGCTTAGGAAAAGATCACAATTTTTTTGCAGTCTCCACATGATAGACCCCCCCCCTGGGTACTCTAAAGAAAGTATGACACTGCTAGTACCTGTGATATTGCTATGGACGACATGCATCACTGCACTGGAACAGAAGTACAGTTCCTTTTAACGTCAATGATGCTCATAGCACTTGAAAGGAAATCTGAATCTGCAGAGTATCTGTGACAATTGACACCTATACCATGCTGCAGTGCGGTGTACAAAGGGAAGAGTTCTGCATTGCATCTTTGAAATTGACTTACACGTTGTAAAATGCTGTAATCTGAAGGAAATAATAGCTCAGAACAGTTTCCGTGAGACTGATGTGAAAATTCCTCAGGACATTTTAAAGATTTTTTTTTACAGAGTAAATAAAACCATCTGCAGGGTTAAATATTTGTTTTGTATACAAAATTCAAATGTGGAAAAATGCAATGCTTAGGAAACGTGGGTTTGATTCCTGACTCTAACCCATGAATAATGCTGCTTGCTCTGAGAATCAGGGGACTTGTTTGGTTACTTACAACTTCACTTTCATTACAACATGTTACATTTTTCTAAATTTTGTACAGTGTTTTTAATGAGGCTATAGTGTATTGCTTAATGTTCCTGAGGAGAGAAGGGATGTGTATAAAGTAGTGCTAACAACCAATTTAAAAAATCCGATCCTGATTGTAGCTATTAACTCTGACCTAATTCATGCTGATTTTCTTTATTAAAGTAGAATTAAGAGCTGATTCACAAAGGAAAATCATCACATCAAGCCTGGCTTTCATTTTGTGTTCCTCCATTCACACAAATTAACCCCTGTCCTGGATCATGCTTCTCTTTGGACTCATCCTAAAACATACACATGTGTGTGTGTTGGGGGGTGGGGGGAAGTTACTTTCTGCTTGTCCTTTTATAAGCCCATGCCACAAAGGTCACAGCATGTACAGAAGATCGGAGAATCGGCCCATGAGGTGGAGATGCTTTAAGTGCCCCCACGATACTTTTAGATCACGGTAGGAAAGAATGTAATTTTCAAAGTGTGTACCCGAGACTTTGTTCTCAGGGTCTTGGGAGACTGTTTTATTACATAGGAAGATAGAACATAGGAATGTACAGACAAACAAGAAAAAAATTCCAACGTCCGTCTAACTGGCCCCGAAGATTTTTATTTTAAAAAAAACTTTAAAATGAATAACATACGTTAATGATCTTACACAACTGGACCTCTACTGCTTCTCAATGGAATTCTTCATTAAATAAACTGTCTAATTCTCTCTCTTGAATTTGTTTTATGCAGTCTACGTTGGGTAGTCTATTTCACATAGTCACCACTCTCTGTATAAAGTATTAAAATCCGCAGTCTGTCACTGTCTTGGTCTACAAGTCTATTTCCTCTTGCTCTATTTGCAGCAAAACCTTTCATGACAAGAACTCCCTTCTTAGAGAACAGAATCTGTTTCGGACAGGAATAAATGACGCTAAACCGAGGAAAGTAGAAACGCATTTTTGTGTGATGACAATATCAAAATAAATCTAAAGTATTTTGCAGTATCCGTACTTTATTTGACACACAAAGGTGGTATGATGGTGCATCACTGTATGCAAGAATTATTTAAGAGGAAACTTGATGCGTACATGATAGAAAGGAATATAGAAGAGTGGATTAGGATGGGTGGAGACTCGTGTGGAGTATAAAAAATTGTACAGACTAGTTGGGCCTAATAATAATAATCCTTGCATTTGATATAGTGCCTTATCACATCTTCAAGATGTCTCAAAACTCTTCACAGAATATACTGGTCTGTTTCTGTGCTGTAACATTCTTTGTAAGATAAATGGCCATAATAAATCTAGTCAGAATTTACCTACATTGTGGTAATTTGATATTAACTGGTTTTATAAACTTGTCCAAAATCATATGAAAGGGGAATGAACAAAACCAATGCAAATAATTTATACAGTTTCTGAAGGTTGGAGG